TTCCTGCTTTTGTGTATGAGTTTGGTGGCTTTACTAATATCTTATGGCACTGGTACCCAATAGGGTACCTCCATTTTGTCATGGTTTTTTTCTGTTAGTACCTCCTTGCAGCATAACTTTGACTTCCCAATTACTTATGAAAACCTTCTCTTGATACTGATTTTTGGTAACATATTAAAATCACAGGTTAAGTGTTCATCCATTATTTTTGTTCCACTTCCAAGAATGTCTTGTGGGCTCTTGGGGAAGGAGAGTTTGTTTGCTTTCATGTTTGATTTCAGTGAGGCCGTGGGGAAAAAAAAGGGCCTTTTTTGAAAACTGAGGGAAAAATTCAGGAGGTAGGCATTTCACTGGTGTGCCAGGTTCCCAGATGAAATGTAGTTTGCAGAATTATTTATTAACTTCTATGTAAAATTGCAAATAAATGGGTTTTGGTGATGGATGAATCCTGAAATACTGGATGACTATGAGATTTCCCTGTCTGCATCATAAACTGACTTAAAAAAAAAAAAAAAGCCTTTGTGCTTCAGTTGTTCAAAGCAGAGCTTTAAAAAGTAAAGAGGGAAATAGTATTTGCTACAGCCAGCAGATGGTTGTCACATTTTGCTTTCAGTGCTCTTTACCACTTAATTTTGTTTTGTTGCGACAGGAGAGGTTCCCAGTAAAGCATCTGCTAGAGCTTATGGCTGAGGACCAAAGCTGCTGCTGATGGCATACATTCAGAATAGCACTAATCTAAAATAAATGTTTAATAAGCAGGCCACAAAAGCACCTGAAATTTTGGTGGGGTTTTTTAATTCATTTGATGCAGAAGAATCTTGAACAGTTAAAAAAAAGATGTAGCTTTGATTTATAAAATGTATGTGGCTCCATGTATTAAAAAAATGCAAAGTTTTTAAATCTTCTTTCCTAAATTTCAGCTCATCAAGGTGCTGTGCAAGACCAGCCTTACCAGCTGCCAGTGGAAATCGATCCTCTCATAGGTCTGTCACTTCCTTCTCTCTTTGCGATTCATTAAGCTCTGTATGGTGGCCCTGAAGTGTAGATTACGGTTGTTTTTCACTTGCTGGTTGCTGGGAATGGAATTTTCCTGATAAACCATTTGCATGCAAATTGGAATGCAATGAGCTGTGGCTATGCTGGTATTTCATCAACTCCCCCTCGTTGGTTTGCCTAATTTGAACAGGCCTAGGACGCGTGTCAGTGAAAATTAATATGGATGCTGTAATAATGTGTGATTGAGAATGTGCATGAAGTACTGTCAGGATAATATTGGATCTTTTCATCACTCAGACTTGTTGATGAGCAGGAGCGAGGCACGTTATGATGAATTGGTGCACTGGTAATGTGATGGAGCTCCTTTGCTGAGGAAATTTTCATAATAACAGTGGGGTTCTTAACTGCGCCGTGTTGTGAAAAATAAAACCATGGTGCCAGGGTTTCATCATTAAAGGAGATCAATCCTTTCTTCATAGACCTGCTGTTCAGGCTGAGGGGATTAATGTGTAACTGCAAAGTGGTTTCAAAGTTGAAATATATTGCCCACTCTGTTTTAGTATTGAGATATTAGTATTCATTTTTCAAGGGTATTGCATCTTTTGATCAGCATCACTAGTTAAATTTGTGTATGTTTTTCTTATATTAAAAAGGGGTGGAGGAATGTCTCTTATTTAATGACTCAGTGTAATAGATTCAATTCATGACTTTTTATTATAGAGGTTTATTAGTTTATATAGAGCTGATTTTTCCATTAGCATGGTTAGTTTGGTCAGTTCTTTCATTACAGATCCAACTTTGGGGAGTGCATACTTGGACAATAATTCAAGAGCCTGCAGCATGGCGAATAGCAAATTCAAACAACCTAACCCCAAAATACTATCTAGCTGTAGGACAGTTCACAGGAACAAAGACGACAGGATTCCTCCTGCCCCCAGTACTAGTGGTCTTCAAACTTAGCTCTGTTTTTAAAACTGTCCATTTCAGAATAGTTGTTTAAGTGAAAAATAGGTGAAGTGGCCAATTATAGAAGCACAAAAAAAAAAAAATCAGGGCAAAACCAAACTTGCCTGGGTAGGTTAGATTGTCAGGTCTGTCAGCTAGTGAGAATTAATTTCAAAACTAATATGCATATCACAGTGGGGACTGCACTGTATTGGTCTGTAGATACAGACTGTTGCTGTGTAGCCATTTTGCTGGGCAAGCTCTATGATAATTAAATCAGGAAAAGTGTGGGCATATTAAACCCTTTTATAGGGCTGATAAAAGGTTTTCCAAAGTTTCTAAAATCAATTTCCATTTGAATAATGCAATATTTATAATTTATAGTGAGGAGGACATATGCTGTAACTCTCCTTTCCTTTCTGAAACAGATTTAATCCAAAAAGTGTTTGGAGAAAGAAATGTATATTCTGTTTTAAAACTTGCTATCAAGTAGATCTTAGAAATATAAACATCACAGAAAAAAAAAACAAAACAAACCCCACCAAAAAACCAAACCAAACCAAAAAAAACCTTGCTTTTAATTGAGAAAATACTTTGACTTTTGTTTGGTATAAACACCTTTAAAATTAATGTTCACAATTCTCAAAAATAGTTTAATATTCTCTTTGTACAATAGATCTCAAATCAGCCTTGTGATTACACTGGACATAGTTTAAAAGGTTTAAGGCTTTCTTTGTCACTGTTAAGTAGCATCATTGGGTATAAGCAAGTAATTATGTAGATAATAGTAAAGGTTTTTAATTGTGGCTAGACACATTTACCTAAAAATGGCACCTAAGAGGACCACAAAATTACACTTTTATGGTTATAGCAGGACTCTTGTTGCTGTCCTAGTCATACAGAGAGATTTCTGCTCTCCTCGTTTTCCAGTTGCACAGGAAGATGTAAACCAGCATTGATTCTAGACCTGTTTTTGAGGTGAAGTTTTTTGAAGGTCTTATCCACACTGAATGTATCAATCTGCATGTTTTGAGGGGTGTTATTTGCCATCATTTCATCATACAGAACACTTCACTGTGCATATATAGTGCATTGTTGTTATTCTTTCAATGGTCCCAGCAGAAGTCAAGGCCCTATTATGTGTTACCTGCAGAGGAAGTGTCAATACCTTGCTAAATTATTTACTACCCATATGGACAAAACAGTATCAACATTTTAAATGTAGCGAAAGCATAAATAAATAAAGGATTTGATAGAGAGTAAATGGAATAGGCCCAAGGCTTTAGGGGATGGCTAGCCGCTGAGAATGGAAAGAAGTTAAAGAACAAAGAGTAAAGAAGAGTTCAAGACCAGGACACAAAGGTCCAGGGGACCGCTGGGAGTGAAAGTATTGGTGTTCTGAGCAATTGGAAGACAAACCCAGGCAAACTTACTTGCCTGTTATGGGAGTCAGGTTCCCTCAGCACATTCAAAGTTCTTCCTACAGTGTGGGATTTTCATGATACATATCTGTAGGAAACTATATATCTCTATGCACCCACATCAATGAATAAGGACAAATATAATATGAAAAATATGTTCGGTAATTGATTCCTGTCCATTCTGTGGGTTCACAAAACACGATTATCAGGGGAAATAAAACAGCAGGTGATCAAAGTAGGGTAAATATTTTCTCTCAACCGTAAAGGAGATTGTGGAGATAAGATGGTCAATTTTTGTGCAGTGCTTATAAAAGTAGTGAATGGTAGTGATGTTTACTGCAGGTATTCTTTTTTAAATTACAATGCTTGCAGTGAAATACAACTTGTGTACGGTTTTGAAATCGTAATTCCAGTGTTGTCTGCATTCGAGCCCCTATATAGCATATATTTGTATGTACTGTCTTCTAATCACATTCCTTTCATCTGTTTCTTACTTTCTTATACTAGAAGGGGGGAAGGAAGCTTATTACATTTTTATTTATCATTCCTGTTTTCACTCTTTCATTTATGTTTCTCTTAAAGAAGGGCATTCTCCTATTTTAGAATATATACTACAAGGCATGAGCATTGTTCCCAGAAGTGTAATGAGTATTTTATAGTAAAAGTAGAAAGAGAATATCCCTGCCACAAAAACCAAGTAACATCAATGAGAAATAGTTTTGGTGTGAATGTTAGTTTCTAAAATGTGCTTTTGTTCTGTGAATGTGGATGCTAAAGTTTCTTGATTTGTGTGTATTTCTGTTCAGCCAGCAATACAGGTATGCACAGGAGGCAAATCACTGACCTTTTAGACCAAAGCATTCAAGTGCATTCCCAATGTTTTGTCATCACCTCTGATAATCGTTACATCTTGGTCTGTGGCTTCTGGGACAAGAGTTTCCGAGTTTATTCTACTGACTCAGGTAATGTATTTTTAAAATATGGGAATAGCCTAAAAGATTTTACTGTTCATTGTCAACCTGCTGTTTCAAATAAGGAAAGAATGGGGAGTGGGGCGAGAAAGTGGAGTATGCATTTATTGTGCTATTAATAATATTTGTCAAATCTTTTCTTACCTACTGGTAAGAAATTTTTGTGGAATAATGGCAAATGCTATCATTTTTGTGCAATAGTGGCAACTGTAAGACATAGAGCTCTTGTTTAGCCAAAACATCACACTCCAAATCTGTATGACAGGCATGCCTCTTTTTACACTGTAGTTTCCACAAGTAAATGAATTTTTTGGGAAGCTTTGCATGCCCAGGGAATTAATTTTTCTTAGAGTACTTACTTGAATTTAACTAGTTGGTTTTCGACACCAGAGAATTTTTTTTTGGAGGAAATACAGTCAAGCACCACAGAATAAGAACAGAATAAGAACAGAAGTGAAGTCTTGAAATCTGGTGAAAGAATACTTATGAAGGCCTTTGAAAGCTATACTATAATAGAAAAACTGATTTGGAGCCACTAAATTCTTTCATATAACATAAACTGATCGATATAATGGGCAACAGTTAAATTAGTCTGTCAGTTGGCATGTATCCAAATCATTGAAGTCATGCATGTGTCATGCTAAATAGAAAAGAATCTTTCAGTGTAAGAGCTATAGGAATTTAAAAGCCATGGAGCCCCAGAAAAAATAGGTATGATTTTTTCCCTTTCATTATCTTATAATGGGAATAGCGACCTCACTGCAAGGTACTTCTTTGGGATTAATGACCCAGTGTGGTTAATGTGTGTGTGTGCCATCAAGCTTTCCAGTGGGTTATTAATCCCTAGGGAATATCCTACATGTTTGTCATCATTTCTTAAATATATTAATTAACAGTGTTTTTCACACTTGGCAGACCAAAATGTTTAACAAAACAGGATGGTCTTTAATGAAAATCTGTTAAGACTAGATCTCATGGCATATTTTAGCATATCTGTCATTTTTGCAATTTTAAAGCCTTGAGTATAAATGAGAAGTTCCAATTACTTCATATTGACTGCCTACAATTCATTATACAGGCATCTTGTTAGACCCTTCTTAGTTTCGTTTTCTTATTGATGAAAATAAATTTACATAAACCTGTGAATTTAAAGTAGATCTTCGGAAAAGTTAGCGGTAATAAATTTTCAGTGTATATTCTTGATTTATATGAACGGAGAGCTAATTCTTTTATGTCAAAGGATATATTTTACTTTACACCTATAGAAGGAACCTGTATGATTTTGGTAGCTTTGTCCTGTATCAAACTGAACTAAAAATATCTCATTATGTCCTCCGCATGTAAGTAAAAAACCCCAGGCATCTCGTTACTAGCATAGCTAATTATGATATAAACCAAAATACAGTTGTCAAAATAATTGCAGAAGACTTGAGTCTTCTGTGTGTCTCCTGTTTGTCAATATAGAAACTCTAGCTCTACCATAAATCAAGTGAATTCAGATGTACTTTATTTTGCTTCGAATTAAAATGAGAATATAGTAGTGAAATACTTTGAAATCAACAGAACAGAAAGGGAAGAAGATGATGTGATCAGTAATGCCTAATGGCAAATGATCATAAGCATTGAATTCAATTATATTTTAGCACATACAGGAAAAGGAAACTTTTTTCCTATTAGATTTTGGGCTTTTTTTTTTAACAGGAAATACTTTTAACATAAATCATGGGTTCTTAGCACAGCTAGTATAGCAGAAGCACAATAAAACCTTCCACCAGCAGTGGGAATGATTTCTAGACAGCATTTTAGATTCAGTAGTGCAGGGACTTAAGTCTTATTTTTCTTTTAATTATTCGCAGCACAGCTGTCAAATAAAACGTTAACTAGAAAATGTGTTCTGTCAAAAAGGGCTATCTGAGTCTGATGTTCCTCTGTAGACAGGACAACTCATATTAAAGGAAACAACAAACTTGAGGAACTCTTATGAGACTAAAGATTTTTTTAAAAATTATTTTACTAATAGAAAAGAGCAAAAGCTTATTTGTTGTTTTAATGGAATTGATTGAACCTTAGCTGCACAGTAACTAAGTAAAACTAACATGGTAGTGCACCTACCCGAACAACTGTCAAACAAATAGCCTTGAAAAATGTTTGGCTCCTAGAACACAACCTATAAACACAGAATATAATTGAAAGAGAGATCTCTGTAACTCAGCGATGTTTATAGCATAAACTTCTGTTCTAAAAGTATAAATCACATCAGGTAGCTGAATACCTATGGCTGTACAACTGCAAAATACATCACATAATTAAATTCTTCTCAAATCTAAACCATGTAATTGACAACTTGAATTTTCAGGGGAAAACATACAGTCAATAAGATGTTTTTGTAGATTGCTAAAATGAGGTGTTTGAGTGTTTCACTGCTTCTAACTGTGAAGTTCAGTAACATTTACTGAATCTATTGACTGGTCAGCATCTGAGATAGGTGACTGCGGCACAGATTAAATCTATGGTGTGCAGAGGTGACCACTATAGAACGTTATTACAGACTCAATGAGATGAGTGAAAGACTTGAACGCTGAGGTACTCTCCTTTCAGATACAAGGTAGAGCTGCACATTAAATGTACCTTCCAGGATTTTGCCCCTTCCAGTCAGAAAAGGCTCACTTGATAGTACTTCATTTCACAATTTTTCTTGGAGGATTATACTTGCCTAATGAGTTTTGTTAGTGTTGTGTTTTAAATCTGATGTACAGCTTTCCTCTAAATTGCATCATGTTATCCGATTGTTTCTTCATATACTAAAGTAATTCATTCCCTCTTTTTTGTAGATGCTCATATCTTTCTCTTGTTTGGTTTTTGTTTGGTTCGGGTTTTTTTCTTTCTTTTCTGTTTTTCTCCACTTTAATACAACTACCTTTTTGATATTCTGTTACAAATCAGGCTGTTAATATTATTTTTGTTCCTTCCTCAGAACCACTCCCTTCAGTCTTTTATTACCATTAGTGTTATTTAGTGGCTGGATATGAACACAGTGGCTTTGTATTGAGGGCTATAAAATGTGTCCTATTAACCATATTAACTGAGTGGCTAATTGTTTTTAATTTATGCACCAAAATATTTTATTAAGATGTGCTTAATCTGAGTCCCAACTCAAATTTGTGTAACCATTTGTCACATTACTAGTTATTTTTTTAAAAAACTTTCCAGGAGATTTTATTTCAGGTACAGAAGTTTGCATTTCCTTTCTTTTTCAGCCTGTGTGTTTAATCCCTCCAAAGCCATCACTCTTTTCTCCTTCTCTTCTTCCTCATTCTTTATTCAGCCTGAAGCAAAAATGGATGCATAGTCATTTGGGCTGAGGAATCTGAGATTACACATTAGTGGCATCCCATATCACACTTCTATGTGTCACTGGATGCAGAATTTGGCCTGGCCAATGTTACCTGATTGGTCCAAGCAGCTGCCTAAGAAGTGTGTGTATGTATCTTTTGTCTTGGCCCTACAAAATCTGCAGTTGCTAGGCTTCATGAATCCAGTGAGATAGATTTTAGTACTTACATTCTCATTTCATAAGGTCATGTATGCTGCTGGCAGGACACATGTTGTGTTTTACTGTGTAGGAGCCAGGCTCTGGCTGGGTGGTCTGGCAGAGATCTAATGTAGGTGACCTTGCATGTGTTTCCTCTGCCACATCCACTGTGCGTGAGCATCCAAATTTACATTTTCCTGAAAATATTGTCCTGTTTAGTTAAGGTTAAAAGGTAATAGTCATGTTCATGTTTATACAGACTTTTGAATGGCTCATTTTTAACTGCCTAGGCTTTCCTTTCTTTTTAACATTTATGTCTCTTGCTAGCGGTACAAGAGTTTGTCCTCTATGCAACAGGTAAGAGAGTTTTTTACAGGTCTGTCTTCTGAGGTTTTCTGAACATTACAGAAATTCTTAATAGGGAAAGATACTGGTGGAAATTATTGCGAAGTGTTTAAATGGTGATGGAAAAACCTGGGTACCAGAGTAAGTTTTCACCTAAATCTCCTTTTCTCTGTTCAAGGAGATGCTCAAAAGCTGCATATGGTATATTTTCTAAGCAGCTTTCACACTACCAATTTCTTCTGAGTCCTAGGTGTTCTATAACTTCTGACTCCATTTCCCAAATCATCATCAGATTTGCTTTTTCACTATTACCTTCATCAGTAAACTTATCTTAAACTTGCCTTAAAAGAGAATCCCATCCTGTTTCCTGTTGTAAAAGTGAAGGTAAACATACAGAATTAAATAAACCTTCTGGCATGATTTGCCTTTGAATAAAGTATAATATTTATGGACTGTAAATATTTTTTGTATGGACTACTGCACTTTTAAATAAGTTTCCACCAAATCAAGAAAAAAACCAAATAGTACTCTTAAGTATAGTTCTTTCTGGAATCTGTTTTATTTTTTAATAAAGAAGATATTTCTGAATACTTTATATGTAATTTGCCTTAGAAAGAATGAAAGCATAGTTTTAAAGCAATAAATTTTATGTTTCAGGTAAACTGATGCAAGTAATATTTGGACACTGGGATGTTGTAACCTGTCTTGCTCGTTCTGAGTCCTATATTGGAGGAAATTGTTACATTCTCTCAGGATCGCGTGATGCTACATTGCTGCTGTGGTACTGGAATGGCAAAACCAGTATCATTGGTGATAACCCAAGAGGTAAGCAAAACCAGAAGAAACTGTTTTATGAAGATGCTGTCTAAAAGTAGCTTGAGTGAACATTCTGCGTGACAAAATTTTAGGTAACGTTAATGTCAAAGTACAGTGCTCCTTTCTTATTTGTAGTTGTGATCAGTTCTGGTTTAAATAATTGAGGGTAAACAGTACTTGCTTTGCAACACAAGTAGAACTAATTTTCAAAGCTGTGGGATACTTTATATTTCTTTTTCTTGTCACTATTCAATTGGGAATGAGTGGCTCTGGGAGTGAGAGAAGGGAACTCAATTTTTATACGTCCCACTCAATATATAAAGTACAGCTATAGCTATAGCTGTACTTTAGCTATCAATAGCTAGGCAGACAGTGAATTTTAACTTAGACTAAGGTCATTGTAATGAGATGTGTAATGGGTAGAGCAGGACACTTATGTGAAAGAAGGACAGACACATGGGACAGATTAAAGAAGCAAACTTAAAACTTTTTTAGTTTAGGTGCTACGTGCCTAATCCTTGCTGTAACGTATTAGGCATTTTAATTGGTTCCAGTGCAAGGAACAGGGTTCATACCATATAACCAAACTAATAAGTCAAAATAACCACGCTTTAGCCTAATTCAGTTTTAACCCCTCCCCACCCAAACTCACCTTGCACTTGCCAAAGAATTTAATCTCTTCTATCTTTCACCATTTCCCAGGAAATCCCAAATCCTTTTACTCATGAAGACTCTTTTTTTAACTCAAGATTTTCTATGGGAAGCAATGGAATTCTATGACTGTTCAACCCTGCTGTGCCTGTATTCTATAATGGGAAAGGTAGAAAGTGATCCTGTTGTTATGCCAGTTTCACATCACACAAAAAATTAATTCATGATTCCCAAAGCAAAGAAAAAGGCAGACATGCAGCTTGAAAAAAAGCCTGAGTGAGCCACTTCACATGAGTGAGAGGCTTTCAAGACAGCTCATGAGAGCTTACATATGTGAATAGAGGGGTACATCACAGCCAGAGATCCTGTTCAGCCACAAAGAAAATGCCCTAAAGAGAATGGGTAAGAAGCAATATATTCTGTCTTAAGAAGAGTGTTAAGTTTTCTGCCATACCCTCTTTGACCCTGTTTAAATATTAGTAAAAACATACCTGCTGTCTGCAGAGGTAAAAATGGACATCTGGGAAACAAAAAGTCTTGTTTATCTGGCACATGTTGCAATTACAACTGGCATACAATTTCAGGTAATGTAAACAATATCTGACATCTTCCAAATTAATCAGTTTGGTAAAGTTGTGTGTTCCATACTCAATCTGTTACTCAACTGGAGTTACTTGAATTTGGAAAAAAAAGAGGTTGTTTGACTGAAATTGTATCCTGTGAACTAGTTCTAAGATACACAACCAATTAATATGAGAATGAATATCTGAATTTAACCTGCAAATTATTTGATGTTGACTGTAAAAACTATTTAAAAATTGAAGAAGAAACAGAAATTCAGTTCACACAATTGCAGAATCTTCAGGTGGAAGATGTGAGCAAACTATCCCCATCTTCCTTCCAACAGCCTTATTCAGGGGATGGGAGCTTTTCTGGGATATGGCTAGCAGAGTTTTATGAGCATCTTTAAATAAATATGGCTTTGGTTGAGGGCCGAAATCTCTGTGAATGCTGTATACATATTTTGCAGTCTGTCAGTTTAAAGAAAATGCAAACTCTGCACAATTTTTTGCAGAGTTGTAAACTTGGAAACTCCTGAAAGTCTGTGAACAGAACTTAAAAGCTTGACAGTCAAGCGAACTTGTAAATTCTAAAGGGCAAAACCACCCTCTTGAGGAGCAAACCCTCTGGTTTGAAGCAATGAACATTTGTAGGTGTCTCCTTACAGTGTTTTCAAAGCCTGCAAGTGTAGTCCATCTTTGTGAATTCTTAGGCCTGTCCTGAAAAGTCCTTGTTAAGTATTTGCCAGGCTTGCCAGCTTTGTGAACAAGACCTTGAGGCTCCTTTATGACCTTAACAGATCATATACTGAGATTTTGTACCTAGTATCTAACTAGAATAGGTAGATTTCTTTATAATCTGTTGACTGTCTTCTCTAATGCAAATTTCTAATGTATTAAAATTTTGCCATTTTTAAAGTTATACTAGGCTACTTTAACTACTGTTTAAAACCAAACAACAGCTACCTGGTAAGTCTCTGTGTTTGCAGTTATATTAAACTAGTACTTTTAGGGACATGCAATGTCTCCTATGTTTACTAGTTGCCATTATGTAAGCATGCCTGGAAGCCCTTGTTAAGAATTGGAATCTCATGGCACTATACATAGACCTAGACATGTGTATAGTAAAAGACAGCTTCTGCTTCAAAGAGATGGTAATCTGGGGGGGTTAATTTTTCCCAGAAAGAGCTGTCTGTAGGCATCTCTGTTCAGTCAGATTTTTTTTGAAAGGCAGATAGAAAGAGCTGTTTCTGCTTAGTTTTGATTTTGTCGGAAATGGAAAGCGCCAGCAGACTTGTTGGTTTTGAGCCCTGTGCAACTATAACTTCCATCCATCTGTGGGATGCTAGGTATTTAACTTGTCTAATGTCTTTTTGTATTTGAAACTTACAATTTTTTACCTCAAAATATAGTTTATTCTTGCTTTTTATGAGCACTATTTGTTGGAATGTTAGATACTCTCAAAGTTGATACTTCTTTCCTATTTTTTTCCTCTATTTAAGTATCTCTAATTTCCATCTTAAAATGACTTCACAGCAACATGCATCCAATGGCACTGTACCAAATCATCATGCCAGAGTAGTTTCAACAAAAATAATCTAAACCAGGAGTGTTTCTTTCCTCCTTTCCTAGTACCTGTTGCCTCTGATATACATCACCCAGCAGACCAGTATGATCAAGCTACCCTAAATACTACCCCATTGGGCACCCATTACTTCCCCAGTTACATTTTATTTAGGTTCCTTTTTCTGGTTTTGTTACTTTAGGAAGCGGTTGAGCTCTTGATCTCTGGCTGCACGTATTTATGTTTTAGAGTGGTACTTAACTCAGGTTGACAAGCCAGGTAGGCCTTGGCATGTGTTTTGTTTGATATTCTTTATTGATAAAATTGTCCTTGAGGACAATTTTCTGGCCAACTGGACTGTATGGAAAAATTCTTTAAGTTTTTGGTAACAGAAGAAATACATTACTGAAATATTCACTATTTAAATAGTTTAAATTTTAACTTGTAAAATGACTTCTTAAAGAAATTACACCTATGCAGTCTCACTGTCTGTCTAGTTTCTCCCTAATAACTCTTGAATGCATTGATTAATGTAAACCAAATTTGATTAATTTAAATCTCAAAGATACAAAATTCCTTCATGAGACACATCTGCTGGAATCTATTTTTATTCTTCACAAAACAGCTTGATTACATTTAGGTTAAGTCCTTTTTTCCTTCTCAAATTAAAACCTGAAATTCAAAAAAAAATATTTCACCATGCTCTTTGATCAAATGTAGGTTTTTTTCTTTCTAAATTAATTGTTTTTGAAAATGTAGAAGCATGGCAGTACCTCACTTTGGTGCACAGGCCTTTTCTTGTGCAGAAATGTTTTGTGGGCAGTTTCTGACCAAGCCTAGGAATAATTCAGAACAGAGCAGAGGATCTGAAGTAGTTGTGTCCTTTACAATAGCCCTAAGCCATTTTGAGTTCACATTAATTTGCATAATTTACTGTGGAGATGTAAAGTCACTTTGCATAGTGTAAGGGGTATTTATTTTTCTCTCCTTGTCATGTGGCTTACTTTGGTGAGGTGGGGGAGGTAGATGGGAGAGGATGTAACCCTCCACTTGGTACCTCTTGAAGCCCATGTGTGACCTGTATCACAAGTTTGGCTTTTGCATATTTAAGAAGCTTGGATCTAATAGCAAGGTATCACTTGGGGACATGACGTTATGCTTCAGGACTTGCGTTCCTGAGTAAGGTGGTAGAATGTGTAGAGGAAGAGAGAAGAGGGAGAGGGCAGGGTGCTTGTGGAAAGATGCCATGTTTTGCACTTGCCTGGCCTAAGGGGTGGAGGTGGAGGGGAGTTGAGAAGTGGGGCTGAGAGAAGGAACTACTGTGATGGCTTGAGCAAAGAGATGAGAGAATTCATTAGCATACAAATGGTGTGCATCACTTTCAGGTCCCACTCTGGCTTTGAAGCTCAAGTGGCAACTCTTAGTGTTGGACATTTCCTAGGTTGAAGGATTGCATTTTACTTTGTAATCAGGGAACCATAGGAAACTAGGGGGCAGGGGGTAGGAGCTTTGGTTACCTTGGTCACCTGATCCCAAAGAATCACTCTTTTCCCAAAGAAAGCTTAACTACACCCAAAGCATTCTTGACTGATGTTTGCCCAACAAAAAACTTCAACAAATACATTTTGGGGCCTTAGAAGACCTATCACTAGCAGTCTTTTTCCAGTGTTCTGCCTAGTATCCAGTTCTTTTTTTGCAGCAGTTGCATTCTATCATTTCTTATATGTTTATTCTTTGTGTACAGAACAGATTATTTATTTCCTCCTTGCAACAATTTCCAGTTATTTGGATTATCATTACCTGCAATTTTTTGCTTCCAAATTTTATAACCCTATTCTTTCTGTCTTCTATTCTTTCTGTCTTTTGCCATAACTCATACTTTTCTAGACTTCTGATTTTTTTTTTTGTGTTCCTCTTCAGTTGTGTCCTCCTCAAAATAGACCCAGTAATAGAGTTGAAGCCTTTCCAGTAAAAAGTAGAAAACAACCTGTTTACAGACCAGTACTTTTTACATCCCCCTGGTATATCTGTTTCAAAACAGCATGACAGTGTTGATTCCTTAAGTGTGTGAGCCAATATAAATTTCAGTCTTTTCTGAAGAACTACGATCTACTCAGTTGTTTCTCCTTCTCTGGGTAGTTTGGCTGTGGAACCTTGTCTTTGAACTTTCTTAATTGTATATTTTTTGAGACTGTTTCTCCAATTTATCAGATTTGAGTACCATTTTGAATTCTCATTGAGTCCTCCAGCACATTTGCAGCAACTCATGTCTGCAAATGTAATTTGTAGTCTTAGTCTATCTAATTGGTCATTAAAGACAATAGTAAATAGTGCATGGTTCAAGAATGCCCATCGATACATTTGCCATTTTGACAATGAATAGCGTTCTGAATATAGCTTTCCAACTGGTTTTCATCTGATATATAGTAGCGTCTTCTAAACATGCGCTTCCTTATTTTCCATAAGAATTTACCCATGTGAAACAGTGCCAGAGTCCTTACGGATGTCAAAATATATGATGTCTCCCTGGCTACAATTCCTGTAACTCTGCCATTGCATGAAAAAAATCACTTTGACATGATTTGTTCATAACAAATCCAAATCAGCTGTTACTCATCTCCTTGCTTTCTTCTAAGAAACTCTGTGTGTGTATATATATATATAAAAGTATAAATATAAATGTTCTGCCAGTATTTTTCCTGTTTGTTGGGATTAAGCAGACTGCTCTCCAATTTCTCAGCTTTATTTTTCCTGCTTCTTAAATAACATGACTTTTTTTAGTCTTGCAGAACCTCACCTAATGTCCATAAAACAAGAGTTACAACTAGAGGATTATGTAGTTTCAAAGTATACTCAAATCAGTATTATCAGGCCAGTTGAGTTCCAAACATTCACCTAATTTAGTTATTCTCTAATAGAGACAACAGTTCTTACTGCTGCTTTTATTTACATTTGCTGCCTGACTGCAATGTGCTTTTTTTACTGAAGACTTTTACAGAAATATTTTCAGATGTGTGGCATCAACTATTAGTATTGGTTGCTTTTAATAACAGACCAACTTCTCATGAAAACTTAACGTATTTCTGTGTTTATAGAATGACTGTTACTCCTGACATCATTGTTACTTGCATCCCACCTATGCTTGGCTATTCTGTTTTTGTCCTTGCTCAAACGTTGTCTCTTACACTGGTTCAGAAAAAATCTCACTTATTTTGATCTTTCTGCTTGACTTTCTTGTGTTTAAAGTCATTGGAGAACTTTAGTTGTGGCAGGCTGGTATCCTCTTGTCTGTCTTATTCTTCTGTGGTATTGCAGTGGTTTTCACTAGTATCCCTATTACTTTTGTTTTTTGAAACCTATCTTCCCAAAATACTTCAAAAATTATCTTGTTGTCCTTGTTCTTTCTCTTATAAAGCGTATTGGACACTCTCATACCTTCATCAATTTCATATAAGTTTCTTTCACCACCATGTTTTTGATCTGTTTTGTTATATTGGTTATAATCATATCTAGAAGGTCATCTCTAGATGTTGCTTATATATTAAAAATATGAATGTATCTATGAGATAAAGAGACTTCTATTGCTTTCAAAATATCTACTGATTGTTCATAATTAATTTTTATTTTTCATATTTGGAAAACAGAAAGATACCTAATTTAGAAATTTTATTTCTTTAATGAAATCAAGGCTTAACTGATTGAAGTATTCAGTACCAATGAAATGTAGAGTCTGCATATAACTATATTACTATTGCTAATATTAATGTGCTCTCTTCTGAGTTACTGCATTGATCTTCCACACATACGTGAATAAAACAAATTATATTACCTCTTTTATGTCAGCCCATAAAACTGGAAAATGTTACTCTCTGTATGCATCACATTTGCATCATGAGGATTATGGGGGTACTTTTGTTGCATAGTTCTATATCTTTTAGAGGGTACTATATTCAGGTTTTCTGAAGCATGTTAGAGAAATGGTTTTAGTAATGTAACTGTGTAGCAGGGCACATGTGAATGTGAGCACATGATTTCATACTTCAAAAAGACAGTTACTGGATTTAACTGAGAATTATTTGAGAGGATTCACTGAACACTTTTACTACTGCTAATGTAGAATATCTTTATCAGATCAACGTTTTAAAATGCATCATCTTTTCAAATTTATCAAACATGGAATCTCCCAAAGGGTTCAAAATTTAATCACCATATTCCTGTCTTGCCAAAGAACAATCTAGGTAACATCCAAGCTACTTCTAAAAGAAACTGTATTTTACTGGGGCTTTTTTATAGCTACAATTTCTACGTAAGTATTTGAATACCTAAAAGACTTGTTATCAGTTATTGTTATTACTAAATTAAAGCTATGGTCTTGGGACTAGAGAATTTATTAGTTTTAATTGTAATAGTAATAATAGCAAAAGAGAAAACATCTGTCTTTCATCAACTGCTACACACATTTTTTAGTTTACAAATTTTAACTTTTTATAAGTGAGTGCTTGATATTTAAGTAAGTGGATAATGCAGGTGACTAAAACTTTGAAAGTATGACCTGATGAACATCTTTATGTTGGTTCATTAAAGACTAATGTCATAGCTAATAATTTCTTTGTACTTAAGACACATTAATCCTGTAAACCTTAATTTTATGAAGATTTGCATACATGCTTGCCTCTGTACGCAGTGAACAGTCCCATGGATTTCAAGCAGCTCATAAGTCTGCTGTTAACTTACTAGTGAAAATCCCTCTTTGCCTTCTTCCCCCATCCTTATGCTCATCTTGAATTAACCTATATCTTGTTTCCCAAGTTTCTACATGATCTTTTATTTTCAATTTCAAAACCAATGATAATAGCGAAGATAAGGTGGCACATTTCTGAAGAATGTTTATAGCATAAATTTTTATTTAGAATTTTAATGATTATTTTAAAAAATAATTTGGAAATGGTTTGCATAACAACTTATTTTCTTCAAAAAATTAATAGGGAAGTAGTTGTAAAAAACTAATCTGTCAGTGTCCCCTTTTTCATTTATCATGCTAAGTAGTAAGAGTACCAAAATATCCATAAAATAAGTAATCATGTTAGTAATGACAATTCTGCTATTATTGTTAATTTCTGTCAAATGGTAGTCTACCATAATAGCTACAAATTTGCAGAGCCTACAATTACTAAAATATGTGTGGAATTGCTGCAGCTATTAAGGCCATTAAGGCTGTTCACTATAGTCAGTCTGTTAAGACTGTTGCTCTATGGTAATATAGCACTGAGAGTTTAAAACAGCCTCCATGTGCTCCTTTTGGTTTTCAGTAGCACATTTATTTTTTATCCCTACACACATTATATTATTGTGTGAGTCCTTCTTTTAGAAAAGCGAGTAAATAATTTAATATTATTTTAACACTGTTTAACTGGAGACATAACAAATATTCTTTGTTTCTCAAGAATGGCTGGACAGTAGCACAATATTGTGTATATAAAGTAAGAATCCTTTAGCACCATCTGCTGGCATTGAGTTGAAAGCTGATCTTGGGACTGACTCTCCAAAGCACTGTCTGGTAAAATATTTCAAATAAACGTATTTTACACTTTTTTTTTTTTGGGGGGGTGGGGTTGGGGTGTGAGGGAGTGACACCCAACCCAAAAGTATAGTCTTTATCCTTCTAATTAAAATTATAATTAGAAAATGCAATATGAATTTAAGGTTAATGTAAGAGCTGAAACAGAAATAGATCAGGAGTGTTTTTTTAAGTGCTGTAAAAGACGCTAAAAACAAACTGAATACTTTTTTTTTTTTTTAACTAGAGATTTAGCAAGCGCAATATTAAATTTTTCTGTTCCTGTTGTAAATCAAATTCAGTAAAATCTATTTCACAGGGAAGACCCACAAGGCTTGGAAAAGTATCTGTAGCATGTTTTGAAAAGGGTAGCAACCACTTTCTACCTCTCATTTATTGCATTATTACTGTAGTGTTGAAAGCCTCGTGAAAGCTTAATGGACAAAGGCCCTGATGCTGTAATTAATCCTACAATTCTCTGTTTCTTTACTGGGGCACTGTTGTAGCCAGTGCAGCGAGTATTGGAACTATATGCATGAATCTAGAACAGAGCCTTAAATTATACAGCTACAAGAGGTCACTGTCGTTTCTTTTTTAAACTGTAACACATTGATACCTCAAAGAAGTTGAGGCCTCATTCCTCCAAGTACTCTATAAATCACATATGAATGACGGTTCTAGCCTCCAAATATTTAAACTAAAATAAAATGAGATATATAACAGGTGGATGAATTCTGGTATATCTGGAAATCTGCAACAGTGCTGCGTAAGCAATATGATTTTGTATAATGCCAAGAAAGTCATGCTGTAGATACATATGAGGACAATGTCTTCACTGAAAAGAAGTTGCAATAGTATTCACTGATGGCTTGGAAAGCATTTAAACAGTCATAGTGATCTGGTACTGATGAGTGTGTAAGTTTGTGTGCTATAAATATTTGTTTTGGCTAAAAGTATGTCCTACAGTGTTAAGCGCTGCATCTGTATCATTCTTGTTTTCAACTGGCTAATAGAGACTGTGTTTCAGGATTTGTCAGTCAGAGTAAGTAATTGCAAGTAGCATTGTAGAGTGAGTTTTAAGGCCCAGTCCAGGCTCAATTGAAGGCAGTATGTATTTCAAGACTAGAAACAGAGAAAGAGTTTGGATGCTGCTTTTTTTGGCAGTATCCAGCTTTAGGTGTCACTAAAACTATATGCATGAGATTCTTCAGAAGGATAAGGATATTTAGTGCTTCACGATGTAATGCAGACTTTTGAGTTCCAGGAAAAAACAATGCTCTATTTACATATAACTTGGAACTAATAGTTGATGCGGTAAAAGGAATTATATAGTAAATGAACCATGTGTGTAGTGGTGGGATGATGTACTAATATATCACATTTACTTACCTTGTTTGGTTGCTGGAAAAATAACCATTCAATTCGAATTCTATACCATCTAAGACGGAACAGAGTACTGCAGAAGATATAATAACTTAGAGTCTAGAATAAAATTACCAACTTAAATGTTGTAAAAATGATTTGGACAATACAATAATCCTGACTCAGGTAGGAAATTATTTTTTTAAGTGTTTCTGGATCTAAACTCTATTAATACTAGCATCAAAGGATAAGCATCACTTTGCTGAGTGCAAGAATACTATATGTAATTAGAACTATAGCCTGCTTGATTGAAAAAGTATCTGGTTTGAAACAGTTACTTTAAAAAAGACAGCTAATTTATGTATGCTCTGAGCTTGATGTGTCCCATTGGTATTTCTAGTTACATCGATACGTAAAGATGCTAAGCATCTATCTAGTGCAGTACATTACTGGTGCATTGGTTTGAAACTGACTTTACAAAAGCAATCAAATAGTTAAAGCACAGACATTTATCCATGCAGTTATGGACCAGTATTATTTTGCAATTATACATTTTTCTTGTTTTAAAAATAAATTATTTTAATACAGTACTTCAATATTAAACAAACAAACAAAAAAACCCTACCAAACTGAGCTGAATTCTCATATAAAACCTTTCATCTCAGATAACTTTCTGCCCAAGGTATGAAATACTGTATAAGTTTCAACTAGGGGTCAGTCTTAGCATGATTGTTTTACAGCAATTCTGCAGTAGGTGCTATTTCTGACTGAAATAATTGCCTGATGTTTTTTTACCTTTTCTGTTAAGGTTGTTGTGTTTGGTTTGGTTTGGTTTGGTTTGGTTTGGTTTTTTCTTGGGCTTGCTAAGTAATGGAATAGTTATAACTATAAGACACATGAGAGAAGTCTGAAGAAAATAGATGATTTTTTAGCATAAACAAAAAAAGCCCCTTCATAAAGTTCTTTCAGAACATTCTCAAATGAATACGACAGTGTTTTAAAACTTCAAAGCTGATATTTAAGTAGCAGTTTATGAAGTAGAGATGGTGCAAATATTAAAATATTAGTGTACACTGACCCTGAATATTCACCTGCAGATAGTTTCCAGGGGCTTCAAAAAGGTCTGTATTCAGTGGGAGGAGGCCTGCTGAATGACTTCCAGGACTTCCAGCAGATGATTTCCCAGCATAAGCGAACTCATTCCAGAGAGCTTTGCATTGCACATGGTGTAGGAATTAAGAGGTTGGGGCTTATCGACTTTTGCAATCTGAATTGTAATACCCAATTCATGAAGACCTGTTATATCTTTTTCTTTACTGTGTTTATTTTTGAAACACAGTGAACTTGTTGTCTTGACACAATGTCTCGTTTCAGTACTGAATAAAGGTCAGTCACTTGTTGCACATTGTGACTCAGGAAGGAGTACAGTAAGCCTTTCCTCTGTTATATTTGCTGAGATCTTCAAGATAAATACAATCTTTTTTTCTTCACTGAACAAACATAACAGCACTATATCATCTGTGTTTTATGTTTTCAGATTCTGCTTCAGGGTAGAATGATATGTTGTTCAAAGATATTCTCCCTTTTTCAGAAAATGTATGGCTGAAGTGTCTTTTGCAAAAACAAAAAAACGTGCATCTAGGCATAAGGTTGTACTTTTTGTTTTAAAAAAAGTCTGAACAGATGGGAAGTAGTTTTAAGGAATTAGAGGAAATGCTGATGGAGTGTCATATGAAGAACAGGACAACAATGAAGTTCTTAGATAATATGAAAAGATTACACTGTTACATAAAAATGCGTATTTAGAAAGGAAAGATTATTTGAACTGAAGTTTTAGGAGTACATCAGTAATATTGTGTGGTATCTTTAGTAAGATCTTGCATCTATCAAAGAGCTAGACTTTCTGCGCTAGTGAAATGGGGTTTTAACCAGTTGGTAGTTATTTAAATGTTCACTCTGTGTGATCTATAAATAATGTTAATATACAGAATTTATATAATATTTGACAGTCATCACTTTGATGTAATTAAACTCTGAAACTTGCTATATAATCAACATAGAAGCCTATCAGCAAAATTAGTTTTCTTGATTTACTTACATTTTGCTGAAAGCAGTTTTGTCCAAATGTCATATATTTTGTAAGTGTATTTATACTTCTCAAATTGATTTCAAACCTCATACTGCTTTCCTCAGTTTTTATTATATGAAACAACTTCAAAATTGTGAAATTTGTAAAATGATTTTTAGAAGACTTTTCTTACGTCTATCATTTGTTTTGGTTAATGTATCCTTCTGAGAAAGTACTCAATCACTTATTTTTACAAGAAGAGAGATAGGTAAAAAGATAGTGAGATTAACTGATGCTTCATTTAATTTGGATTTTATGTTGACATAATATCACATAATTAATTTGCCATTTAAAAGTTCCCTACAGCCTCTGTAATCACAGAATAAAATTAGAAATTATTATTTGGCTGTCTGTGACTTATAATTAATTGTCTTCTCAGCATAAAGCATAAAAAGGAGCATACTCGAATATTTTATATTTTAATGGGTTGCATATTATCTCACCCAGAAATAGTAGGAAGAGTATGTTATATTTCATTGTGAGTTTTTCAGTCCATCTCTAGTTTGATTTCTTTTTAGGGAGATATATTTGTTTAAATAGACTTCTCATGTTTGGCTCAGCTCTTACAGCTTAGTGCCGAAAATACAGAAAGTGGTCATTTTAGGAATTTACTGTTGGATTTAAAATGTCATGATCCTGTTTTGTTTAACATCACCAAAACTGGAAAAAAAAAAAAAAAAAGAAAAATAGCAGAGAAAGACCCAGAAATACAAGCTAATTTCTTGTTAGTCAGTAAGGCATATCTTCTTCTGGGTGTCATTAAACTAGAGGAAAGTTTTGACTTTGCTATAATCCCACTGTTCCTTTTTAAGCATACTTCCAAACAGCTAACATTTTTTCACTGAAATATCGCTATAAGCTGACATGATATCATGTACTCTTCTTTTATCTTCTGAAACTTGAATTTTATGATTTAAATGTACTTCAGTCCCTTAAGAAAGAATGATATTTTATGCTATTTTCTATGGGAAAACAGCTTTGTGGAAATTACTTATTGGATTGTAGGAGAGTTCTTTTGAAATAATTTAAATAGTTACTGTAAAGGTAAAGTATTCTGTCCATTACTGGAAAATAATTTTATGTATACCTCCTGTGACTTAAATCATTGACTGCATTTGTTGCAGTGTGAATATGGCATTAAGATTCTTAGAGTGTTCAAGTAGCAATCCAGCAATGGTAGAGACTAAGGATATTATTATATACTGAGCTGAGAAAAGCACATCTGTAAAACTGTTGTGTCTTGGTTATTAGTGCTAGGATTTGAACTACCTTTAATTTCATTTGACTTGTTCATCTTCCTTAAGGATCTCCATAAAGATGGACTGAGTATTCTTTTCAGGCCTTAGTTAGGGTTTGCATCAGTGGTCGTAAACCTGCTTAGCGGACAAAGACTCTTTTCCCTTTGAAGTCACTTCCCCAGCTTTTCAAAAGGTCTGCAAGCTGGTTTCCCTAAAACAATTTTGAAAAGTTTGAAGTGGTGCCCCTTAAACCAGCAACAAAATAAAATTTTCTCTTTGCATTATTGAAAACCATGACAATCTTCTGAAGCAATAACAGTTTAAAAGCTTTTAAAGAAATCTGTTCTGCTCTATGACCAGCTTTTAAGTTGACCCCATTATTTGGAAAATCAGAGGCTTGGAAACCCCTAAATACTTGACATTCTTATCAAAGGAGTCAGCCTGACTTTTTCACAGGACTCCTCTTTTACAGTATTTATTCAAGTCCTAATTTCTTTAAAGATACTATTCAGATTTTTTCAATTTCTTTTTTGCTCAAAGTGTTTCATTAGAACAAATATAATTTAGTGAAAAGTGAATATAATTTATGAAACACTAATCCTGACACCAGTAGATTTTATACTGTTATTATGTTTGGTCAGGTCCAAATTCTAAAAAGATTGCGAGCATTACTTATGTAATTTTACTTCACTGTGGACTGTGATAATTATATTATGCTCAGTTTATACTTCTTGCTTTAAGAATCTTATCCTCTACATTTTATGTGTATAGTTACTGACAGCCTAATATATGTAAAGCCTACAGTAATGTAATTGCTGTAAGCAGTAAGTTTACTATAGGGATTTTGTTTATCTGCATGTCCTAATATTCGTTCAGACATTGCTTCTTATATGTCCGCCTAACTCCAACATCTTATATCCATTACCTCCACTACAACGTTGTACATTTAAAACTTCCCTGATTTCAAAAGTTTCTGTAGCATGTGTAGTATATAATTTGATTAATTCCTTGCTGATCTATGCAAGTCTGTGTTAAATGCAATTTCTGAAAGCAAAAGAAAGCAATAAACCAAGAATTCTAGAATTTTGCTAACATAGGCAGCTCATTTAAAAGAAAGATAGAAAAAAAAAACCCCAAACCAAAACTAACAGGAACTTTAAGTGCACAAAGCTGCTTCCTCTTTTATGGCTTGGGGAAGGCAGGAAGAAAGAATTGGGTGAACAAAATTAAATTGTTACTGGATAATAAGACTGTAATGGTTGCTGTTTCCCCTAAAACTACAAATGTGTGGCTCATCTAGACAATGTTCGTTTATGAATCTTCTAATGTGCCTTACCCATGTTTAGGCTAGAAAAGCTCAATAGAGCAAACTTTCTCTAAACAGTTTGTGAACATTCATAGGATCAGCCACCTGAGAAGTACCTAGAGGTCATTAAGTTTACCCTTATGCTTCTAATTTGTTGGGAGTTTTTCCTTTTCTTCTTAACTGTCTGCCATACTTCCTGAGTTTGAGTGTGTTTTGCCAAACATTATAGAAAACAAAAGTAATAGCTTTTAATGATTATTTATTAAGACATGAGGGACAATTTAGCAAGTTGTTCCAAAGAATTTTCAGATTTAAAATGTTGATCACATAGATGCATGTATGTGTTTGTGTATATATATGCACACATACATATTTAGTGTATATGTATGTATCTAAGAAGAAACAGATTTATGTACTTTTCAAGATATTGTATTGTGAATATAAATTATAAATTTTAACAGTAACTGCAGAATAAATCAAATTTTAAAAGGTCAAAATACTTAATTTGATACTTTGTCATATATTATGATCTTTTCTAAAAAGCCATTTGAATGTGGCAGCCACATGGACACTCAGGGATGTGTTACAAATGGTCTGAGTAAAAATGTAAAATATGGAGACTAAGCTAAGCTTTTACTTATGCTAGTTCAGCTCTACATTTCTTTTACACAAGTGTCTCACTCTACACATGCAGGGTCTGGGGAGCTACCTGGTTTTATATATTTTCATAATTTCTAGTAAGACCCAGTACCAGTAGTGCTCGTACTGTTAAGGGTTTACAAGGACAAACTAATGACTTTATGTTGTCTTTATCTTTTGAAAAGTTACTACCGCAAATGTAGTTTGAATGGTGCTACCTTAGTATCGATGGAGTCAGTCGGCCCTGTGATTACTCTGTCTCTTTGCAAAACCACCTTCTATTTTGCAGAAAAAAAGTTTGATTTTACGACTGCTTTACTGCCTTGTTGGTATCTCACTTATCATCGTTTATTGTGAAGTGAAATTATTCCCTGCTGCTTAAACACTCATCTAATCCTTTCTGAAACTACATGATAACATTGCCCAAGATACATTCTTTGGAGTTTAAATGCTTCATAAAATGCCATGAATTAACTAATTATATGATAATACGGAAATAACATTGTCATTTTTACAAAATGCTAACAGTGGTTATGACCTGTGAGTGAAGTTATCAAACTATTCAAATAATGTGCTTTGCTTGCCTGTTCTGCGTCTTGACCTGGAGAATATTTTTTTCTTCCTTTAAATGTACCAGTTGTATAATTTTCTTTATGGTATCCATATATGTTTGATTCTAAAGAGAATCTAAAAAAAGAAAAAAACCCAAACAGTTTTATTTGTTCTTGTTGCAAGGAAATATCTAATAGGAGCAGTGGTAATTAACTTTGGGTTTGGGTGTTCTGATTTTGCAAACTCATCTGAAATTCATCCTGTGTATGGCCCAAGCTCCACATCTTACAAGAAACTAGACATCAGGCTGAGGTTTCAACACTATTACTAGGTTAAATAAAATCAGTCGATGGATGTTCTACTTCATCCTCAGGCACTGTAGGTGTCTCCTTTCAGTTCCTGTCATAGTGACACTTTAGTTTACTTAAGCCTGTTATAGGAAAATGTACTAATTAATTCATATCTCTTCCTCCACAATAAATAACAAAAAAAGAGGGGGAGACGGAGGGGAAAATGCAAATCTGTGTGCTCCAACTTTGGTTTGGTTTTACTACACACCTGACTCTGATACTAATGTGTGTTAGTAAATGTGCAAGCTGAATTCCTATAGTATACTGCTGCTGTACTAAATAGATATGAATACAGAACCACCATATGCAAACAGTAGCATAGAATTGATTTGTAAGGAACATGAACTCACAGAGCAAGACTACTGAAGACACTTCAGTGATTGAAAGCAGTGATTTTAGAAAAAGACTGTAACCAAGGATTGCTTTTATTGTTTTTTCATTGAAGGTGATTTTGCAACTCCTCGAGCCATTTTGACAGGACATGACTATGAGATCACCTGTGCTACCATTTGTGCTGAACTTGGCCTGGTAATAAGTGGTTCAAAAGGTAAGGTAGCTGTTGTCATTTCCTTCTGTTCATGAAGCTATAATCCTAACACAAAAAGGAGTGTATTCTCAGGAGGCAGAATTTATTAACTTTATGGTGGTTTTATTTCTAACCTTTTTTTGGTTGCTGTGCAATTTGAAACCTCTTTTTAAACATGTTAAAACTGAGGATTATTCAGACATTTACAAGAAGAGGTGACCACATCAGTTTCCCTATTATAGCCTACTGATTACTATTTCTTTTTGTTTGTTTATCCAGTGTGTAATTGCATATAGCATACAGCTGGATAGAGTTCTTGACTGCCTGGATGGTGAAGAGTGTTTGTTATGGGTAACTTCTCAGAAAAGAAACAAAAATTAGTTTCAGGAGAAAGAATGTGCTGTCTTGTTTGTTTGATGAAGGGTAAATGTAAACAACCAACTAAAATTTATAGCCCTTCTGTTCTGGCTCTTTGAGTTTAGCTACAAAGCCTGTAATATGCCCCATCTGTGTTCTCAAAGACCTGCTTTTGGCAGGTAAATTATAAAGAATGGCGTTGATTCCAGGGATATTGTTACGCTTTTCATATTTGATGTTCCAATATATTTTTAAACTGGAAATTTCTTAGCACTAGGATCTTTCTGGTTTAGTGTTGCCAAAGTACTTTGAGACAGTTTTACAAAGCTCGGTGTACTCACCATCTGCAGCTCTGTGTGTTTCTGTTTTATCCCTGTGAACACTTGTGGCTTACATGAAAATCAGGTATTTGTCCAAATATATTAAAAAGCAAATATTTAGTGGATCATGTATGGGTTGAAATCTTAATATGAGAAGATACGCTTTTAGAGTATCTATATATGTAAATTCATTGCACTTACCTCTGGATGTCTTTGTGTTTTAAATACCTAATTTTAGGATTTGGTACATTTATTTTTGTGCTCTTAAAATTAACAACTCCCGGCTTTAAAAGAAAAGCCACAAAATAAAATCTGTTAGGTCGCTAACTAGTTTTGATAGGTGCTCTAAAATACCTTAATGCAAAGCTTTTATGGGATGAGATGTTCATCTTACTCTCTGGCACCCTTAAAGTCATAGGCTATGCACTTAAACTTGGTAAAAATCATTATAATGTATTATTATAACAGTGATAACCTGAGTGGAAGTCATTACTTATTATTTGATATACGATGTCTTTAAATGAGCATGTAAATCAATAACTATAGAGATTTTATTCCATCTCATTAGAAGGACCATGTCTCATACATTCTATGAATGGAGATCTGCTGAGGACATTAGAAGGTCCTGAAACATTAGAAGGTCCTGAAAACTGCCTGAAACCAAAACTTATTCAAGCTTCAAGAGAAGGTCACTGTGTCATATATTATGAAAATGGCCTCTTCTGTGTATTCAGTGTGAATGGGAGACTTCAAGCCACTATGGAAACAGATGACAAAATAAGGGTGAGTATACTGAAATTGTGTGCTAAGGACTGCCAGTTCCAGTATCAGGAAAAGCTATCAGTGTTGGAGTTGTGTGGAGACTCTTTCTGTAGCCAGGCCATAGAAATATATGGTACTAGACTGTAATAACAGCTTTCTGAAAAAAAGTGTAACTAAGGGGACCATGTTCTCCTAATAGTATGGTTTTTAGTTTTAAAATAACTCTGTTCATTTAGTAAAGAATACCCTGTAGGCATTTCCTTGAACTGAAGTATACAACTATTACTAATTTTTGACCAGGAGAAGCTAGGCTAGTTCTTTACTTTTTGGTCTAAAGGCAGGAGGTTGTTGGACGTGCTGTTTTGGTTGTTGGCTTTCCTTTTTTTTGGCATCTCTGTCTACATTCCTTCATTTTAGCTTGAGATAGCATGTGTTGTACTGAACTTTGGGAAGTTTATTGTCAGTTGTCTATATTTCAACTCTCTAGCCCTTTGGCATTTGCTGAGCAGGCAGCAAAGTTCTACATCTTTAGCTGCAAGAGTCATGGAACAAGTCCAAAACTATGCAGGAGGCATTTTAAGCTTGTGTTTTTATGAAAATAATTTTATAATACAAAATGCAGGTCTTTTGACAGTTTCTATGAAATAGTACCTATGAAGCAGAGCAGAACCTGCCAGCTATACTGCAGTGAAGCAGAAATGTCAAAAGAAGACTTTCCTTGGATTAAAAATATTCCAAATTTTTCCTTGAATGAGAAAGAAAGGGAAAGGAAAAAAATGAACAAGCATTACCAAATCTGCCAGAAAGTTACAGAATGCAGCAGAGACATGGAACAAGATCACACTGCTGGGTCAGCATTCAGGCTACCTGAACAATCTGGAGTTATGGTCTCTATGCCAGTAGTAATGGTCTGAGAGACAGAATCACAGAGTGGTTGAGTTTGGAGGGGGCCTCTGAAGATCATCTGGTCCTGACTCCCTGCTCAAGCAGGGTGATCTAGGGCCATGTCCAGACTCTGTCTCCAAAGATGGAGTTTCTACAGCCTCTCTGGGAAACCTTTGCCAGTGCTCAGTCATCCCACAGTATTGCATTTCCTATATAAAAACCGTTTAACTATTAAACATTAGCAAGAGGACACTTGTTGTTGTAAGCATGTAGCAGTACTACACTTGCAAGGTGACTTTCATAATCTGATGAAAGAGCCCAGCAAACAGCTGCAATGTTCTCTTGAGTTGAGAACTCTCAAGTGTTTTTCTTTTATTTGAGTTGTTTCAGGAAGAAACACTGATGTTTGCTGTACAGTTATTGAAACACTTTCCGATGTGCATTTTTAAATTTGCACCTGTTCTTTTCTTGACTCTATTCATATTAATTCTTAAGATGGAAGAATGTGTCAATAAATTTGAAAGAATTTTCATCTTCATTATTTCCATTGTATAACTTGCATGGAACAGTGAATGCTCCATTACAACTGAATTGTCCAGTGTAGTTCAGTGTATTCTTCTTAAAACCTTCTAAAACTCTGCTGTGTACTATACTCTGTCAATCCAGCATCCTTATGTTTTCAAAATGCCAGATAAGTTTGTGGTGGAATACGCAGAAATAACTCTCTGTGTAGATCTCTTTTCCATAGTGAAAGTGCTGTCTGCATGGGTGAGAGGACATTCGATCTTTGGATGCTCTGGCAGCCACAAGTGTGGATTTGAGGCAAGGGAAATTAAGTAGGAATGTGTATATTTCTGTTTCAAGCCATTTTCAAATTAATGTAGATTCTTGCTTCAATTTTTAATCTTACTTCAATTCTCTGAAATTGCACTTTCGGCTCTCCTTGTACAAATGCTTTAGAGATTTTCAGCCTACCCTTCATCCCAGTTCTTTCCATAAAGCAAGCATTTATCACAGTATTTTCTCTTTTTACATTAATAATGTTGATAATCTGTCACTTTCAGTTGTGATTATGTTGTCAGCTAGGCCAGCAAATCTGTAAAATATCTAGAAATCCCTTGCTGGCTAAAACAATTTCTGTAGTGTTTCAGTCAGTACCCACAGCTTAAGGAATGTTGCTAGAGGCAGTGGAAGTTCCACTCTCTGTGGGCCAGAATTATGTACATACAGGGGTTTGGGTTTTATTTTATTTTGTTTTGTTTTCTTTCTCTCCCAGTGGTCCCAGTTGGCCTTTATGCTTAAACAACCTACAGCGTCTTTCCCAGTGCTTCTGCACTGTATCATGTTAGAAGGCAAGTGGCAACTGCATGATTAAAGTAGGGGCATTTAAAATGAATAGTACCTACCCGTGGGCTGTGCTGGTAAACACTTTTTGTTGGTTTTTGCTTGATGAGGGTTGAAAAGGGAAGGAAAAGGTCCTAAGTGTTGAATCTTTAATGTAACATTCTAGTTTCTATTTTCTTACATCTTAACGGACCAGTATTTCAGAACGTTATTGACAAAACCAGCAGTTTTCAATAATGATGATTGGAACAACATTCTGATTTTCTTTCTTATATTCTTGTGCTAGAAAAATTTCAGATGCTCTGGGGAAATTCAGAGTCTAATCAATGCCTTCCACCTGTTTTTGTTTTAAATACTGTATTGCTCAGTGGAGCTTAGGCATATCACAGTACATCTACCATGTAATGTTTAGATATCTTAATGAATAACTTAACTCTAAATAGTCTGCTTGTTCGGAGAAGTAAAGTTATTTTACCCTAAACAAAGACTGTATGCTGTTTCACCCAGAGGAACCAATTTATTTTCCTTTCCTGAGTCTGTTTTGAAATGTGGAAGTGCCCACAAGACTCCTGCTGCTGTAAGCCAGGGCTGTCACAGTGTCAGCTCTGCCTTTTTACAAAGTACTGCCTTTCAAATATCTGAGATGTTAAAAGGGATTTGTGCAAAGTTTTGAGACTTTCCAAGGAAATACAAGTCAGAAATGCAGCTTTTAAAACATTGCTGAAATTGTGCGCTTTGGGGATTGAGTGTCTGAAGCTCATGTTGTGAGAAAGATTAGTTGCAGAGTTGTTTCAGTTCCATACCTAGCAGAATCATAGATAAACTACGCTGGGGAAAAGCCGAACAGCACAATTGATTCATGTTGTCTTCTATACCAGTTGGAGTACTTGGGAGTAAAAGCATCCTTTCGTTTGTTAAATCTTGAAGGGCATGTCATGAAACTGAAATGTTGACAGGGTGACCTTTTCCTTCCATTCATTCCTTCAATCATATACATATATATATAGGCAAGTGGCTGAGAAATTTATTAATAAACAATAAAAAGAATTAAGTCAACATCTTGTCCTCATGACAAGCCAATGACTTAGCGAAATTGCATAGGTATTAGTAAGGATTCAAAGCTTATACTTTATTTAATCAAAAGATCACAAAACCCTCTGCATTTTGCAGGTAGTGGAAGAGTTAAAGATTAATGGCTTTAATTTGCCTTTTAATACAGCATTTCTTGAGTAAAAGCCTCAAGTATAAAATTCAAGTGAACCATGACCATAAGGTTAATGGATTTTCATCAGCTGAATTTTATAAGTGTAGCAAATAATTATTTGTCACGGTCTTCATTGCAATTTGAAAATACCCTTAGGAGACTGCCATTGCTATAGAGAAGAAAACCACCCCATATTGATTTTGCTTCTAATGAATAATCTTTTTAATAATTGCGTGTGCTACGTTAGATTTCATGATCATCTACTTGGTGCATGCAAATTCCAGGTAATTTGCACAGTCTTACCTAGTTTGCTTTCTATCACTTTCTTACTGAGTTACTATCCTCTCCTAACAGGGTCTCTAAATGAGTTCTCAAGTTACTGGGGTCTGTGCTTTGGGTGGTGCTTACCAATATTTTTGTAGGCTGGTAGGAACAATCAAAGAAGCAAGTTATGGTTGGAACATTTTTTTTTGGAGGTGGGGAGGGAGGGGGAAGATTCAGCTCAGAATACTCTAACTGTGATTAGTATTCAATTTTCCAGACTTAGATGTGGTTGGAAAAAAACCTCCACATATTCTGCTTTATTGTGTCTAAATTTACATGTATGTGTGGTCATCTGAATTCAAAACACAGCTGGAATAGGTTTATAATTATTTTTTTTCAGAGTTATAATATTTCATTTACAGTATATGTATTTACATTGCAGTCATTTTAAAGTTATTGTGTGAAATAAAATTTCAGAAGTGTCATTTATTCTGATTACTTGGGAATTGTTGCAGTAAACATTCAAAATTTATAATATAGAAACTCTACCTTAATGTAAGTGTTGCACATCATATAGTTCTTAAAGCATATATTTGGCATCATGGTAATAGAGTACAGCAATACAAAAAGTAAAGATGGGCAATACGTCTGACTTCAATTATTGCTCCTCACAAAGCAGTATCTTACGTACACTGTATATTTTGGTTTCTAGGCTTGTCAGCAGTCTGTATAAACACTTCAGTGTTGCATGAACATAACATTCTTGTGTTTCAGTTTTTCTCATTTTCGTGGTGCATGCACTATAAATTCTGTATGTTAAAAAAAACAACTTCTTTTCCTTAGGAATTTAAAATCACAGTATGTTACAAGTTTTGCATATTGAAAAACTGTAGAAGCAGAGATTGCAGGGGCCAAAATACTTACGGACTTCAGCAGAGAGAGGTATCTTTACAAGATCCTGTCCTCAGTTCTTTCCATTTCCTAGACTTAAATCTTTGAGCTGGAGTTTTGCTTGTAGGCTATCACCTTGAGGCAATTTCCTTGCCTTCCAGTGACAATGTTTTGGTTAAAGTGGATTAATCTATTTGTAGAACATGTGTGTTTGGAGCAGAAAAGCCATTGCTCTGAATATCCTGCATTCTAACATTGTTCTATTGAAAAGTTTTGTGGCTCCTTGCCTTGGGTCAGGGAGCTGAAATTTTGTCAGAAATTAATGCTGGTATGAAGGATGTGTATTTCATTGGAAAGCTGCCCAAATTTAGCTGGTTCAAAAATCTCAGATTAAAGGCATTCAGTAGATAATGCTTAGCATCTACATTCTAGAGCCCGGGGATGCAGAGTTTTCCCCTGCAAACAATCATCTCCTAAAATGAGGTGCACAAAAATGCCATGGCAAGAAATGTGATGAGGTGATCCTGGATGGGGAAAGGGAAGGACTGGTGGGAAAGCAGAGGAGAAAGAAGAGCAGAATCAAGGATAGAACCAATGACAAAATGAAGAAAATGTTTGCAGGAGCATCGGGAACAGAGCAATAGAGATGGGAATGTAAAAACTTGTCAGAGACTGGGAGAAGGCAAGAAAAAGCAGAAAGAAGTGAAGGAAAACTAGAAATTGGAAGTAGGAGCAATGCAGGGAAGGATTAGATAGGATCAGGAGTTTAATACTAGATAATAGTGCTTCATAGTAGCAAAGTTCCTCATTTTCCTTTTGATAACGGCAAATCATCCAGCAAACAACTAGAAAAGTTGTTTCTTGCCCTTCCGTGTGCTCAGATGAAGAGGATGATAGGCTGCTCTTGTGCTTGCAAAAATAAAAGTAGAGAGCAGAGAAGGGAAAAAAGCAGAATTCAAGCTGGGCAGCAGAAGTGAGAAAGAGAACTGAGAAGTATCTGGAAACAGGAGAGCACAGGAAAACTTTTGGGCTTGCAGGAATTGTTATCATTAGTAGTCCAAAGGGTAGTTTTAAGGGTCTTGATCTTGCTGGTAGCTTGTGCTGATGTCATTCCAATGACAAAATTCATTCAACTTTTTGTTTTTTATTGTTTGGGGGGGATGGGGAGGGGTGCTGGGGTTTTGGGGTTTTTTTTGTCTCTTTTTTTAAACTCTAGAAACCCTTCAGTTTTCCCAGGTAGTTGGAGGATAAGGCTATAAAATCAGGGCCTGATATCTTCAGGGTTACTGTAGTGGTAATAGCTAAGACCCATATTGAAAAGATGTGCAAGATCTTAGGACTGCTTTGAGAAAAGTCAGTAATGGAGTATTCCAGGGGTTGCTCTAGGGAACTAGTTTTATTGTGTTTTCTGAGCTGGGGAATGCTGAAGGTCCACAGAGTGATGAAGACAATGGATGAAATTAATGCAGAACTGTTATTCAGGAAACCCCATAGTATGAGACCTATGGGGTACTCATTGAAACTAGTAGGATCATTTCAAAACAGGTAAAACTATTTTGTACCGTCCCCTCTCCAGAGGGCACCAGCGGGTTCAAAAGCAGATAAAGAAAATTCCTGGGCAGCATCTTCATAAAAAGATGCTAAAGGAATGGACAGTAATATACTTTCTGATATTCCTAATCCAGTGATTGTGGGTGCTGAGGAGCACAAGGGGAAGGGACTGTAGCGTGTCGAACCTTGCAGCATCTCCTGCTGCTGCTGTTGGTGATACAACACTGGGCTACATGGATCATGGTCTGTCTGACCCCATAAGGTATCAGGTATCACTTATTTTAATAAAATTTCAAGTTCAGTACTCTTAAATCACATTTTTGCTTATTTAACTGGCAAAATCCCTTTTTAAGAAATATTTCTCATGCTTCCACCTTAATGGATGATAGGATCACCAGGTATAGTCATCAGGTAACAAAGGAAAGTTGCTGTTCTTCCAGGTGCTCTGTATGTATCATGATTTTTCCAACAGCACCCAGGAAATATCAAAATAGATTGAAGACTTCTGTTTGAAGAAGTCTTCACTGTGAAAACCAATGACATGCTATCTTTATCCATGATCTGGATCCCAAATAAAGATTTCAAGTACATGCATCGGTCCCCATGATGCATGCAAAAGCAGGTTATAAACCATTGGATCTGTAACAGGTGGTTTCAGGATATATAATTAAAGGAAACAGTCTCTTTTAAGAGGGGTGGATCATTATCTTATTAATCCAGAGCAGGAATTAAAATATGCTGGTCTAAATTAATTCTAGTAATTTGTGTAACATTTCAGTTCCTTCGATCATTTAGCCTTTTGTCAGAGAGAAGAGGAGGACAGCTTCTGCTAGGCTAGTATTAAAGGCAATTAGGGGAGCGTCAGGTACTATATTGTAATGCCAGTGCTGCAGTATCTTGTAAATTTAGCTAATTAGAAGAGTAAATTTATTTAGCTGACCTCATATTGGATCTTTGGAATATAGACTATATCACAGGTGAGGTAAAACTTAACTAGTGGCATCTAATGTATTAAAGAGATTCGTGCATAATAACGTTAATTCTATTGCTGAATAGAATAACATAACAATAATGTTGCTTCTCGAAAGCTGGTATTGTTATCAAATCTCCCTAGACATTCAGCTGTCAATATGAAACTTTTTATGAAAGTAAAAGAGAGGGGGGAGTAAGGCAACACGTATTTACCTGACAAATATCCATGTGATTTCCCCTTAGGCAATTCAACTGAGTCGAGATGGACAGTATCTGCTTACAGGTGGAGACAATGGAGTTGTCATGGTATGGCAGATGTGGGACCTCAAACAGCTTTTTGCTTACCCAGGGTGTGATGCTGGAATCCGATCCATGGCCCTGTCATATGACCAAAGGTAAGAGCAGTGTCTGGTCTTCACAAGAATTTCAGAGAATATATACTTACAGTTGAATTGCATTTTTATTTTTCTTCTGATTTTGGTTTTCCAAGGATTACAGATCCTGGTGACTATTGAGAAATCTGTGCTTGCCTAAGTTTCTTTCTAACATGTCGTATTTAGGGCAGATAATCTTTTTCAGGAGTCCAGCTCTTGGGGTAATGAAGAGAGATTCAAGAAATCTTAGTTTGGTGGGCTTTCAAGATAGGTTGAATTATTGGTCTGTGCCACTGTACAGTGTGGGACCCATGGAGGTGTAAGGTTACATATGTGCTTTTTATATTTCTTCTGTCATGATACAAATCATATTCCTAATTCCAGAACTTTATGTTAAAAATAGAACAGTTAGAATAGCACAATAAGATTCCATCCACACATCCGTATTTTACTAAAGCAAATATTAATTTTAATCTCTAGAAAAAGTTATTGACAGAAAGCATGTCACTATCCTTGAAGATTCCTTCTACTGAAGGCAATCAGTTAGTATTTTTACTGCATTTTTATGTTACACTTCCCAGTGTAGCTATACATAAAAGTCCTTCTGTGTTTTTATCACAAAGGTATTGTTTGTTTATAAGATGAATGTTTACCATTTCATTTGCACACATTTAGCTTGTTGGCTAGAATTTTGTTTGCTGTGGTGTATTTGTTTAGGGGAGATACCATGTACTTTTCAAATAGATTTGGCTCCTAAATCCCCTAGGAATGTCTACATTGTGCAGTAAAGCATATAGCAGACTCTTAACCTTCCACTTCCTGAAGTCCATGCTGAATGTTTTAACATTTTTACCTTGACTATATTTCTAAAACTTACATAAATTGAACTTAAAAAAATCCAAACCTGCAAAATCCATGGACTTCAGTCACAGATTCAACTTCTTGTTAAACATAATTAGAGAGTATAGGCATTTTGCAAGAAACGGTTTTCAATTAAAAAGCCCCTGTTGTTAAAAATATTTCAAAAGCTGGAGTTACAGACGTTGAATTTTAGACCTCTGAAATGTATGAAATTTTTCATTTAGAGAATCTTTAAACTATAATTAATGACATGTCAACATAATTTTGCATGTCAATAAACCGAAATTTAATATGGACATCTATGAATCTATCCATGTGCTCAAGTTAGAAACCTGTTCATTTTGAGTTTAAAGACACAGAAACTCAGAAGAGATTTCTCAGAGTATTTTACTGAGCAATTGCTCAGTAATTACAGGCAATTACTCATAGTAATTTATTTGGTATGCATGAATGTATATGTTTGAATGACAGTGTGTAAAAAGATGTTTTAACCTAATACAAAACCAATGAAAATGGTGCTCTTGAAATAGTGTGATACTATCAAAATGCAATGTTTTGATCTCATATTTAATCTGTTTTGAAGGAAAAATTACAGCTTTTTATTCTGAATATTTTTATTTAAAACTCTGCGTTTTTTTTCCTAAAATGCCAAAGTTTCATGTGTCCTCATACTTTGGATGTTCATAAAACGTTGAGCCTGTGGAAAAGAGACGATATAGAAATTCCTGTAATTGTGTTCTATGTCAGAGTCACGGCTTTTCACACAGATCTAAATGATCTCTACTAGTAGGCCAAGGGTAAGGAATTTAGAAAGAAAGAGTGCCTCAGTGGGAAAGCACAGTGACTGCTTTCAGGAACTTCCAAAACAATCAAAGCCTTCAGATTGCTTTCAAACACAAACACTAACATTTCCAACTGTAGTCCTGTGCCCACATCCAACTCCTTCCATGTAGATCATCATATGCTTAAATGGGGGAGGTGAAACTCAAACAAACACTTCTCCTAGCCTTCCTTCACTTTGCTGCTTCATCAGGGCTTCATCACACTCTGGTTTCCCCTCAAAACCCAACAAAGCAAGCCAAGAAATAATCCCAGGAAATCGAAGCCCTGAAGTGGCTTTGCAGGATGGTGGTGCTGGTAAACAATCCTGTATGGTTAGCCTGAAGCTATTTGCAACTGTAGGTTCAGGCTAACCAAACAAACTGTTGTGTGGTGGTTTGTATGTTTTGTGATCCATAATTCTGTCATGGGTGGTGCAAAATGGCAGCATTACTCAAATCCATCTTGCTGGAGTCATTGGAAGCCTAAGATGGGAACCCTTAAAGCCTGATTTTTTCTGGTACGTGGAGCACTTCCAGCTCTAGCTGTCTTCTGTGGAAGTTGATCATTGGAAGTTGCGTTCTCATGCCTGTACTGATGTAACTCTTCACTGTGTTGACTTGTATATATCAATATGAGGTGGTTCACTAACGAATCTTGTGCTTTCCTTAGGTGTATAATGACTGGCATGGCATCTGGGAGCATAGTGGTTTTCTACAATGATTTCAATCGTTGGCACCACGAGTATCAAACCAGATACTGATCTTCACAGAGACCAAGATTAGCACTGATTTGGGCAGCTGTTGTCAGAAGGAAACTGAACACAGCACACCTCCCTTGGTGTCTTGCCACAACATTGTTCCCTATAAATAGCTATCTTACATCTGAATGTAACTTAAATTTGCTGGAAGAAGCAACCTATTTTTTAAAGTTAATTGCTATTTTTGTAGACCTTGCTTGACTTTTTTGGGGGGAAGGGCAAAGAAGCAGAAATAAAGCTGCTGCTGGGTTCTGTAGTTAAAAATCTATATTTTTAGTCATAACAAGAAGTCTATTTTGATCCCTGTATGTAAAAGAAACCTAAACTAAAAATGGTTAAAACTCACATTCTAGCTATATTATGAAGAAACAGATTTTCCTTCTGAAGCTTTATCTTTTACCTTGAGGAATATACGATTTTAACATAGTGGAAATGAATTACAATGTTTGGGGAATTTTAAACTGTGCTACCTGTACCACACTTTGTCTCATACTTTTCCAAATGATTGTACTACATCAGCACTGAAGTATATGGGAATCAATGGTAATATTTAAATTATGGTTAATGTAATTTTAAACTTTGCAAATCGTTTCCATCAATGTTATTATTCAAGCATGTTTCTAGGCCTAGACAATTAGTTCTTTTTTAGTTAGTTGTATCTTTTGTGCAGTTTAAGAGGGAGAAATCAGGAATAGAGTTTGTGTTACATCAAGTGTGAATCCTTCTAGTTTCTACCTGGCATCTTCTTCAAAGCACACCAAAATGCAGATTGTTCCTCCAAATCAGAAGGGGTATTTTGAAGACTTTAAACTCAAATTAGAAACCCACAGAGGCAGGTATTTCTTAATAGGTGCAAGCACCAAAGCACACTTCTGCTGATTAACTGTGAAAGCACTAAAAAGGCAGGTGTTTGCTGGTGCACAGCATCTATACAGCAGTAGAAGCACTAGACTTGCAGGTGGCTTTATTATTTTTTTGAGAACTAGCCCCTGCAATACTGTAGCGTATGCCATGTTGCTTTTCCTCGTACAGTAACAATATCTTTAGTATTTTGCTATCAACAAATCCAGTCAGATCCTGCCCAATCATATTAAGTTACCTCTTTGTTTTAGAAAATTAAAAATAATTTATATTAAGGAACAATAAGTTATTTTGGTGTTGCACAAATCTACTTTTCTACAAGCTTGCTGTGCAGAACTCTGTGAAAATATTTGTGAAAAGAACTGTTATTGTTTGGTAAGTCTGTATTGCATAAAAATCTTCTTAGTATGTTGTAATCTATATGAGTTGAAATTTACATTCCATATCTGTATTGATACATACATTTATCTAGCTGCCTACTAGAGCAGTTCCTGGGTTTTTTCTAAGCATTTAACTACTATCTCTTTCAGTAAAGATTTGGAATGAGAAAATTAATTTTGAGTGATGAAATTAAATAAAATTACATTTGTAATTGAGAGCTTCAGTAGAGTATTGGGTTCTTGTGATTCAGTGTATATTCACAATAGAGGAAGTAAGTGCTATGGCTCACGCAGAGTACTCTTGATGTTTATGCAGTGGTGACTAAGTTTTCTGTGCCTTCTACATTTTTATACTGATGTGGATATGGTGATATTGTAGAGTTACTTTTTTATGTTTTATGTAGCAGAAGTATGATTTGATTAAGAGAGGCTATAATTGTCATGTCTGTGGTGGATGCCCAGTGTATTAAGCAGTAACATCTGTTACGCAAAAGTTGTACTTCATGCTTCCTTAAGTTCAACAACATTCATAGCCTTGTCAGCTGATTTTGAGGTGAAATTAGTGCGCTCTTGACGTGCAATTTGCATTTCTTTCAAGCTAGGGGTGGGTTTCTTAGGCTGGGTGGAAGGAAAAAAGCCAAACAAAGAAAGGTGTATTTTGCCAAATGCAAGCCCTGAAAGTCTTCTCTTTATGATCTCTTGCTGACATGGGGAGTAGATTGCTTGGTTTAGAAAGGGCCCTATTGATTGTGAGATGCTTTCCCAAACTGAAAACACGACTGTGCCTGTGTGTTCCATCCTGAGTTGAACCCAGCCAGTGCATGCCGATGGGCAGCTGTGTCATGGTATCAAGCGCTCCCTAGGGAAGCAGCAGCAGCAGTGGTGCAGCGTGGTGTTTTGCATAGCATGAGTGCTGCAGGCCTTCTGTGGGAAAGGACATCTTCACTTTCTGTTCCATGAGCTAACCTGCGTACACACCCTCACTGTGGACTGCTTTGGTGAGTAGGACATACCTCTCCTTCCACAGGTCCACAGACACATCTGGGGTACTGCCCTGGGGGGCCAAGGCTTGCACTTACGGTCTCAGCTTTGGCTGAACTAATCATGCTGTTTGTGATGAGGTTGCAAAAAAGGGTTAAAATTCCCTGTGCTGAGGTATTTGTTACTTTGTTGAGGGCAGCACCTGTGTCAGATGGACTGCCTGAAACTTCTTTAATCAGCAGGTGCCTGTCATTAACCTGCAGCTGGGCCTCAGCTAGCTGTGAACTGCAGAATATTCTGGAAAAGAGGCAGCTGCATCTTCTACTCTCAAAATTCAGAAGGAGCATTTGTGAACAGCATGTTTTGATGTGACAATTCAGGCTCTCTTCTGTTCTGGTAAGTTCAAATGGACACGATATTAGCTGTAGTTTATGGCAGGTGCTCTGCCAAGCAGCACTTGCTGCTGCTGCAAGAAAGGCTGGTCAGCAGCAGTGCTGCATGTGTTTGGTTTGTGGGGAGATGCTTAGTGCAAGTAGATTGAAATCCTTTCTATTTTGTGAAAATTGCTGGTGCAAATGCTGTGGGATGTGTCAGGAGATGATGGTGCGATCAGAATGGTGGTTTTTCTGAAGTCTGTGTTGTGGTGTTACTGCAAAGTTAAATGGGTGCCTTAATACTTTTGAGAGTATTTCTTCAGTTCTTGGCTGTGTTGTACTGTGTTATTTCCTCTTCGCTCGGAAAGTGTGCCTTGTGCAAAGTATGTCTATTTGTTACTGTTTCTGGTCCTGACATACTCCCTGTAGTCTTCCATCTACCTGCAGCACTTTGTTAGTGCTAAAAATTCCTGCTCTACTGGCTTAGGACTTATCATCTGAGTTATCTGTGTGGTATTTGTGTTATCTGTGGATGTTCTGCTGATGGAGGAAAGGGAAAGTTTAGATCATAGAATCACACAATTGTTTAGGTTGGGAAAGACCCCTAAGATCATTGATTCTAAATGTTAACTCTAACAGTACCAGGTCCACCACTGAGCCATGTACCTAAGTGCCACATCTAAACATCTTTTAGATATTTTCAGGGGTGCTGGCTCAACCTGTTCCAGTGTTTGATAACCCTTTCGGTCAAGAAATTCTTCATAATATCCAGTCTAAACCTTCCTGGCGCCACTTGAGGCCGTTTCCTCTTGTCCCGTCATGTGTTACTTGGGAAAAGAGACCAATACCCACCATGTTCTTTGGACATGGTCCAGCCCCTCAATGTCTCTCTTGTAATGAGAAGCCCAGAACTGAATACAGTATTCCAGGTGCAGCCTCACCAGTGCCGAGTCATGGGAATGATCACTTCCCTGGCCCTGCTGGCCGTACTATTTCTCATAGAAGCCAGGATGCTCTAGGCCTTCTTGGCTGCCTGGGCACAAACTGGCTCATGTTCAGCCTTTCCCTTATCCACTAAGTGGGTCACCTTTTCACAGAAGGAGATAAGATTAGTCAAGCAGGACCTAAACCCCTGCTGACAGGGCCTGATCACATGGTGGTTCTGTATGTGCGGATGATGGCACGCAGGATGATCTGCTCCATAACCTTCCCCAGCACTGAGGTCAGACTGACAGGCCTGGATCCTCCTTTAGGCCCTTCTTGTGATAACTAACTGTAGATGTTAATACTACTACGGTACAGTAGTAGCTGGTTTTTACAATTGCTGTCAGAAGTTGGCCTGATTTGGGGATTCTTATTATGATTCTAAAAATGTGCAAATTGAATTTCTGTTTAGAAACAATGTGCAGAACTTTCTCTTTTGTCGTGCTTTTAATGAGTCAGATCAGGCTGGAGATTTTTGAAGGAACAGTGATTCCACATAGCTGAACAACATCAAGAAAAATGCGAGCCATGCTTATATACATATCTGGTGTCCTGGAATGAAAAATTGTTTTGGTTTCTTTTAGTAGCAAAAGGAAATTAAAAACTAGGACTTCTATGGAAAATCAATTTTATTGCAGCTTTAGTCAGGACATAATTGCTGTTAGAAATATTGAGTAAGAATGGCCTAGATGTGGTGACTATCTAGATTGTAACTTTTCCATTTTACGTACTAAGTTCCATAGTCACAGAGATTTAAGTGTGCTTGTGTTACTGCATCTCTGGCTTGCTTTCTCTTTCTCTTATGCTAAGAAGTAATTCAAAGGGAAGAAAAAAAAATTGATTGTATTGTTCTTGAGAAAATGGCTGCATCCTCGGTAAATAAAACCAGAGATGGGCCATTTTGTGGGTGCTGCTCTAATTCAGTGAGTCCTTTCCTATGTAGGGTGAGGATATTTGTGTAAAGCTTGAGATGAGTCACTTGCTTGGATTCCCCAAGGGATACATTACATGAAATCCAAAACAGTTTACTTCTTTTATGCAGAATCAACCTAAGATTTTCAGTAAACTAATACAGTTAATGATGCATGTCTGTGCTAATGTGTCATAATTAAAAGCTGCTCTTTAAGTGCTCTGGAAAAAACCTGTAGGAAATAGTTTCTGATTTTGTTTAGATTTACTGAAATTCAGCTACATTTAACCTAGAGCCCTGCAGTTCAAACACAGCCAGTCTCGTGAGGGAAAAAAAAATTATTAAAACATATGAAACAAAGTTTGAAAGAATAGCTTCTAATTTGTATCTGTAAATAGTTTTAGTTAAGACTTACTATGAAGAATCATGTTGTTATAAAGAGTATGTAAAATATTTCATAACATTTTATAAATTAATGTGCAATAGAATTGCCTTCTTGTAAGTGGATTGAGATAGAATCAGAGAGTATAGTCTTGAAACCAAAGGAAGATTTGTATGTTTAGTAAAATATGAAATTACATACAACTTTACACTTGGAACTGCATCAGAGAGTCAACTAATTAAAGACCTTTAGATTTGTGCCTCAGAAATGACACTGTATTGCATGGGAATAGACAAAAAGAGGTTTTCAAAATGTGGTGCTTGCTATTTGCTAAATGGAAAAAATCTGAGATATGAGGTACTATTTTCTTCAAGTTTTTCTGGTTTTCTTCCCACTGTTGCTTTGTTCACTGTCTATTGTGCGCTCTGAGCTGCAAAATGCTGTAGCATAACTGAGTCTACTCATGTATTCAG